ATACAACACCTTCATGACAGTCCAGCCCTCCAAATCTTGTTTTAATAAATAACTGAATTCACTTCAATGATATATTTTGATCTTCATTCATTATTATTATTATTATCATTTACTTTTTATTATTATTTATTTATTTATTTATTATTATTATTATTATTATTATTATTATTATTATTATCTGTATTATTATTATTATTATCTGTATTATTATTATTATTGTTATTATTATTATTATTATTATTATTATTATTATTATCATTATTATTATTATTACTATGTCTTTGCCACTAACATTATCATTGTTTCTCTGGAAGGCGTCTTGTACAGGGACATGTTCCTTTTTGCCTAACCAGTCTCATTACGTTTTGTGTGAAATAAAATTATGAATTATGAATTATACCAATGTCATCTAGCCTATCGATAAAAACATCGATTCGATTAATTAACAGCAGCTTTTCGCAGTGGCAGTGCCGATAGAAAACAGCAACTTTTTGGCACTGCGGCAGTGCCGATAGAAAACGGCAGCTTTTTGGCACTGCGGCAGTGCCGATAGAAAACAGCAGCTTTTTTTGGCACTGCGGCAGTGCCAAGTGCCGAAAGCCACTATCTCCACGACCACCATGACTCTCAAAAAGAAGACCAAAAAGGAACTGCTAGTAGGCCTAGCCTAGATACGAAAACTAAGGTTTGTAAAAAACAATATTGTTAGTTGGGCTAGGTAGTTATAATAATTTATACCTCCTTACTACAACTTTTCTGCTTGATATCTTTTAGGACTAGGCCTAGGGCCTAGGCCCTAATTGTTGTTAGTACTAGCCTAGACCTAGCCTAGTAGTAGTAGTAGTAGGGGAGATTCGGCCTAGGCCGTCCGGCCTAGGAATTAATGTAGCCTGTGGTGGTAGGCCTGGCTAGGATGGAGAGTAGGCCTAGGCCCTAGAGGTAAGCCTAGGTAAGACAAGAGCACTCAAACAATTATATCCTTCAGTTGACTTAAAATATAGTTTCACATAGACTATTCAATGGTAAGAACACTTTTTTCTCTCTTTTTTTCCACTTATTCAAAAACATAAACGGTAACAAAAGTATAGGCCTAGGCCTAGGCCTAGGCCTACTAAAGCAAATTAAACAAATAAATTCAAAAAATCTTTCCAAGTTTCCAAAAAAGAATTAAGCTTATCATTAATACTGGCTATGTATTTTATAGTTTGAAAATAATAAGCAATTTTAATTTTCGCCACTTTGACCTCCGGTGGCTTCCCTTGCATTTTTCTTTTTGTATAAAAGAGCTGAGAATAGGCAGCTCTAAAATTCTGGACCATAAGACCTGCCAAAATGGCAAAACACCAAATGAATGTAAAAATGAGCTAGTTATTAATATTAGGCATAGTAATCGGCAGGTTCTTGATTACAAGGCTAAGGAGCATTCCACAGTATTTGGCCCGTGAGTGTTAAATTTTAATTTTCAATTAATTATATAAATTTTGGCTAATTTTCAAAGAAGATATATATTAAAGTTAGATGAAAAAAACTTTTTAATTTTTTTTGATGGACCGTGTTCTGATTATATAAAATAGGCCTATTCACAATACGCAATGTCGTCCTGGCTATTTATGACTCGGGGAGGGGGGGAAATGTGTCGTATAATGTTTCCATTATCGGGCCTTTAAAGTGGACAAATGAAATCGAAAAATGTGATTTAAAAGTATGAGTAGGTTACAGTAAATTTTGATAAAATTGTTGGTAAGTTTTTTCCATGAGTTTCTGACGTAATATGAATTTGCAGTGATGGAGGCTTAATAATAAAAAATAATTATCCAATGAACAGCTCGGGCTGTCATCAGTGTGTTGCTGAACACGCAGAAAGAGCGATTCGTAAAGAACTTGTTGTCTCTCATTCATGGCACCGTTTCATCGTAATAACTCCACACTATTCGTATATGAAACAATGAAACGTTCAACAATAAAAATGAATCAGGAGTTCGCAAGCGCAACACAGTGGTCGGCATTATAGAAGGTAGAATTAATGATGTTTTATTTTAATTTAACACTTCTATTTAAGCAATTGTACATTAGGTGCAGTGACTGGCCAGTAATTTCACGCTGCTGAGGCAATAAATATGAGCATGATTTAATCTCATCATACATTTGTTTTGAGATCGCCAAAGACTCGAGAAAAGTCAGTAGTAAAATCTTCTAAATCGTAACTGTTTTCTAGGCCTCAGAGCATGTCTGCTCCTTGACATGTTAGCGGGTCAAAGCGACCTTTCAACACCAACCGAAGTAACTAGGGGATTGCTAAGTTTTTGTATTCACAAGCGCCTACCTCTAGGCCTAGGCCTAGTGATGATGAAGATGCAGAATCAGCGAAGAAGAAGCAGAAGACCACAGATGCTGAGTCATCGCCAAGTAAACAACGGCAGTCTGACTTAAACCCTGAGTGGCATAAACAGTTCCTATGGTGATAGGAAACAGATAATGGAGGTTGGTATACACAATTTTTTTTTAGAGTACTGTAGTTTTCCGAATATTAATCTTTAGTTTAAATAGTTTAAATACACTAACATTTTCAAATATGTTAGACTCTTCTGTATATTTTAGGGTAGAGAGGCCCTGATATTACTATGATGCGACGACGATCGGCATAGTGATGAGAGTAGGCATAAAATGACGTCACAGGAAAATGTTTAGCCCTCTGAATGATTGATACGGGTGAAATTATGTTTATTGAATTTTGGATATTTTCATTAGAGGTACGGTACAATGATATATCTAATGCATTATTTTATTTAAGGTATGAACTGCAAGCTGTGCAGAAAGCATCAACGGCGACCGAGAAAGAGTATTGTGCTTCAGCACCTCCCAGCTAGTTGAAGGGTATGCATGACAATTGATGCTTGTTTGTAAAAAAAAAAATATTTAAATATTTTAGTATTATACATCTTGTAATGCCGATGCATTACAAGATGTATAATACATGGACCTCTGTTAACATATAATAACATTATATTTTACTCATCTTACTATACAGGTTTGTCCGTAATGAGTCAATCAACCGTATAGCCATGGAAGGAGCGATGAGGTGCCTATACTGGCTTTGCAAGGAAGAAGTGCCTCATAATTCCCATCTCTATTGAACTTGTGTAAGTTTTAAAAATACACTTGACATATCAGCTAACAGTTAACAGCTGAAAAATTATCTTATTCTTATTTGTTCGTAATTTACTTTAAGGTGTACAGTATTTTCAATTGAATTTGTATTTAGGCAAGAGTCTCGGGGTTGATGTTTTAAATTCTTTGAAGCAAGGTGGCAACGCTTCCTACACGTCAGAACGTTTCATTCAGGAGGCTGTCACCACCCTTGGCAAACAGATATCTACACCCCTTCTACAGAAGTTGAGAGACAGCTGCTACTTCTCAATCCTGGTAGATGAGACAACTAATGTTGCAGTCAAAAAGGAACTCATAATCTACATAAGGTGAAGAATATTACAATTTTATATACAGCATATTAATAATATTAATATTAATAATAATATTAATATTAATGGTTTGATTTATAAAAATTTCTTGATTACTGTCCACTCACATCTTAATTTTGGTGTGCAGGTGTGGTAATTTTTTTTTTCACTGAATTGTAGATACTTGAAAGAAAGTGAAAGAGAAAGTGAGACTCTATTCAGTGGTATGTTAGGGCTGTATGATGGAAAAACTGAGACCATTGTTAAAGCAATCATCGATCACCTGCACAGCAACGATCTTCCAAAGAACATGTGTGCACTAGGCAGCGATGGAGCAGCGGTCATGGTGGGTTCTAGAAATGGGGTAGCAGCCAAATTAAAGGAACAAGTCCCACGTCTCCTGAACAACCACTGTGTTGCTCACAGGTTGGCATTAGCCAGCTCCCAAGCAGCCAACCACATCCCATATCTAAAGAAGTTTAAGGCCATTGTTGAACAGTTATACAGGTTTTATAACTACAGTCCTGTTCGTACAGCTTCCTTGCATGAAATTCAGGTAAGATTTCTTAATAATCCCATAATTTTTTAATCAGATCATATTACTGTACATGAAATTGTTAGATTATATGAATTTACTTGCTAAAAACATTTATGTTTTCTTCTTGACAGACTATCATAAATGACCCCAGAATTAAAATAACTCAGGCCAAGCATGTGAGGTAGTTGAGCCACGATGCAGCCATCCAGTCAATCAGAAAGACATTCGAAAGCGTTGTAACTAGCTTAGAACGAAAAGCACGAGAGGTCAGATGTGCAGGCTATGGGTTTATCTATTTGTACAGACGTACAATTTTGTGGCCACATGCTGTCCGATGTCTTGCCAATTCTGTCGCAACTGTCTAAGATTTTTCAGGTAACTTAATAATGACTTATTTCTTTACATAATAATAATATAATTGGGGGGTATCTTTTTTTTTTTTTTAACCATTCATTCATTAATTCTCTTTTCAGCGAAGAGACTTGGACTACACAGTTGTGAAACCACTGGTGGCAGCAACAATCAGCACAGTGTCAGCTCTTAAAACCACCCTGGTCAATATTTCTCTAAGTTACCTAAAGTAATGGAAAATCTTGCCGACAAACCTTTCCAATTCTCCATTCCAACACCACATCAAGTCAACATGTTCAAGACATCGGTAAATGTTTTTTTCATCTTGTATTAACTGAATGATTTTGCTTCTTGAGAATAAAGGAACTTTGCCTTGGTACCTCCAATGTAAATTTTAGGGAATAATTTACGACAAGTACATTGACCAGGTTGTCAGAAACCTGGAGACAGGTTTCCTGACCTTCCAATGCTGGAAGCTTTCAACGTCTTTGATGTTAGCTTAATGCCAGAAAACTCAGATGAGCTTCATGCCTATGGACAAGAAGAAAATGAGGTTAGTTTCTGACACCAAAAGAATATTGTAAAATAAGATGAAATTTAAAAAATTGTTCAATTGGAAATATATTCTTTTCCTCCATAATATTTTTTTCACAGTAAAAACTCTACATGTGGTTATTATGAAACAATACATGTTTACAACCATTTATTTATCACTTTTAGATGCTTTGCGACCACTATCATTTAGACAAAGAACATGCACACTAGGAGTGGTCCAGTTTGAAACATCTTGTAAAGGAGGTTGAACTTTCCTGCCAGAAGCTGATGAGTAAGGTCGCCACACAACCAGAAGCTTTCCCAAACCTAGCAAAGATTGCTTCTGCTGGCTTACTCATCCCAACATTGACTGCTGGTAAATATCATTTTCATATAAAAATACATGTTTGTACAATGTTGCCTATAACTATAATTTTTCAACTTGTAAATTTAAAATTGATTGAACTTCTTATTTTTTCAGATTGCGAGAGAGGATTTTCAACCTTAAAGGGAGTTAAGACTGACCCATGAAACCGCCTGAGCAACAGAATTGTAAACTCGCTACTACTTATTTCCATGGAAGGCCCTGCTCAGAGTGAATTTGCTGCATGTGTGAATGATTGGGCTAACCAAAAGAAGAGGAGGATACAGTTTGACTAAATATAGAATAGATATAAGCAATTGGCAATAAAATATAAAATTAGTTAACAAGTATGTATATTTCAATGAACTCAGTAGATTGGGCCAACAAAAGAAAAAGGAGGATGCAGTTCAAATAAAAATAGAATAGGTATATACAAATGGCAATAATATATATATATAATTTATGTACATTTTAATGAGTAAATTTGTGTAATTGTTTTATAGAAAAAGGTAATAAATATGCAATAAAAACTAATACAAGTAATATGTGCAGTAACTATTCATATTATGTATTTGTAAAATTTGTGTGTACATGTGTAGCTAAAGAAATTTGTAACTGGCATAACAATTACCACTCCCAACTAAATAAATTAAAATAATTATGTTTAGAAGAATGTACAATATGTAACAATTGGAGACTGAAGTAATTGAATAAACTCTATATTTTGAAATGATGAATGGCTTTGTATGGTTCATTTTGTAGGTTATTCTGATGTTGACAGCATCAAACATGTATATATATATATATATATATACTGCAGATATTGGGATTCCTTCCAGTGGATGCTTTGTTTATTTTGTCATTCTGATCGGATTTTCTCTACTGGTCCGTTTTAATTTTAAATAGTTTTGCATTATGTGGCCGTTTGCTGTTTTATGGGTTTTTCCCATTTTTTGCCTTTTAAAATTTATATATTATTAAAGAATCTCTATTGAGATCCAGCGGGCCGCCA